CTTGTAGGCTCCAGGGCCCCGTTTGCCTCATCACCTCATCACTATGCTCCAGCCATGTTTGCCTGAAATAGATGCTTCAATCCACCAAGTGTCTGTCTACCTTGAGGCCTGACCCAATCCATTTCCTCTACTTGGACAGCTCTTCTCCTATGCTTTACCTAACATCCACTCATTCTTCAGGTCTTGTCCACATCAGGCCCCCCAGTCCTACCCTCTTGTGTTTTTCTCCATTGCTGCTTTTACACCAATTACAATTTCACATTTTTTTTGGTGATTCTTTAATCAGCGTCCACTTCCCCAGCTTGACTCCATGAAAGCAAGTTCTGGGTCTGTTTTGGTGACTGCTGTATCCTCTGAGCTGAGCACAGTGCCAGGTAAATTGTATACAGTAAGTACTTGTTAAATTAATTCATGGGATGAAAGGATTTTCTTATTTTTAAGAGTAGGAGAAATCCAAACAATTCTGAATAATGATGAAGACTCAGTAGAAAGGTTGAAAGTAAACAAGGAACAGTGAGTAACCACGGAGAAAGCGTTGAGTCCTTGCTGGGCTGAGAGGATGGGAACGCAGCTCTAGGGAAAGCGCGGTCTCTGGTAGGCACACCTCGCAGTAGCAGGAGTCCCGTCCAATCACCTACATCACCGGTACCTCCCAGTTGCTTACACTGTGTCCCTCTTCGTCTCTACTGCTGGAGCCTAATGCAAGTCATTCTTGTCACCTGACTGGATTATTTCAAAAGCTTCCCTGCTAGTGGATCGCTCTAAGCCCTCTGCAGCCTCGGCTAGAGTCCTCCTGCCCGCCTTTCACTTTCTGGAACGCAGTGAGTTCCATCCTCCCGGGGAACTCGCCCTTTCCCAGAATAGACATCTTTCCCCCACATTCCCCGGTCTTTGTCTAACTAACTCCTATGGCTGCTTTAAGCTTAGCTCTGGCAGCGCCACCTCCTCTGCGGACACCCACCCCTACCCCGAGCCGTGTCCCTGAAGACAGCGTAAAGCTCACTCCCACGTCCCCACGAACGTACACGAAGAATTACCTCCCACGTTTTCCCGTGTCCAAATACCCCACGTTCCCAGGGGGCGTGGCTCCGGCCAATCCGGGCGGGGAGCTGAACCGTGACAGCCAATAGGATCCCAGAACGCTCCGAACCCGCTCCTCGCGCGCCAGACCCCGGAGGTCTGAACGGAACTCCAGCCCCACAGTGACTTCCGGAGGCGAGAGCCTGCCCCTACCCCGAACTCAATAGTCGCGCCAGGAGACAAAGCGGAAGTCCTGCCGTTTCTTGCCACCGACTAGTCAGGCAAGGGCCGCGCGGTGTCATGGCAGCCGACAGTGACGATGGCGCAGCTCCAGCGATCTCTGACAGTGAGTGGCTTTTCAGGGGCCGACTTAAAAGCCTGTGCACCCTGGGGGAGGGGAAGGCCTCTGGCTCATAGTTCTAGAAAACGACCTCAAGTTTCAGAGGACTAACTTCTCCCTTTTTAACTAGCCACGAGGAGACTACAAGTCCCAGTGTGCACCGCGGCTCGGGCTGCAAAAGCCTGGAGTGTTAGGAGCACAGTTAGGATCGTTAGGGGGCATGTCGGGAAATGTAGTCTGGAACTCATTTCTCTGTTAAGTGGGGCAGGTTGGGAGTTGTGGTCCAAAGGAAGTGGGATATTTTGGGAAGCCAGGTCTAGGGCATTATCTCTGGGGCCTAATTATTATTGGGCTCCGGGCCATACAGGCTACTGCCACCTGTGGCTGCTAGGGCACCAAGGGAACAGTCGTATGGAGCCTGATGGGATATTAAAAGAGCTCAACTCCTGGAGCCGTAACAAATAGTTCCTGCAGGACATGGGAAAAAGGTACCTCACAGATCATCTAGTCCAAACTTCACCTTCTACAGATAGTGATGCTGAGGGAGAAGTGATTTTCCCAAAGTCTAACATAAGCCCCTGGAAGACGCAGGCTTTTTCTCCCCAAATTCAGGGCACTATTCACTCCAAGGTCTGTGTGTAGAGCATGCTGATACAAAGGCTTGAGGGGGAAAGCTGCCATTTCTTGCCATCATGGAAAATGCCCCCAAGCCATGGCCTAGCTTGGTATCTACTCCCCGTCCCCCTTGCCTGATCATTAACTTCCATTATTCTGTTCTCCTTACCCCCAGATAGTGTCAGCAAAAGCACAAAACCTGGGGAAGAGCTGGTAGTACAAGTTCCCGTGCTGGATGTGCAAAGTGACAACTTTAAGGAGATGTGGCCATCCCTTCTGCTGGCCATAAAGACAGCTAGCTTCGTGGCTGTAGACACGGTGAGGGTTGGGGAACTGGGAGGGCAGGTGGTTGTGAAAGGGCTGGTGTTGGGGACCTAATTCAGTTCTCCCTTTAACCACCCATAGGAACTGAGTGGGCTTGGGGATAGGAAGAGTTTGCTGAACCCGTAAGTATAATCTGTGATCTCTTTAGTTCCAACCCTGATGAGGGGAAGTGGGGGCAAACCTTAGCCCTGGAGTGGAAGTCACCCTGGGTGGTTTGGGCCCTTCATGAGGCTAACTCCTAGCCACAGCCACCCCCAAACCCAACCCCAAGGTGCATCGAAGAACGTTATAAGGCTGTGTGTCATGCTGCCAGGACCCGTTCTATCCTCTCCCTGGGCCTCGCCTGCTTCAAGCAGCAGCCAGACAAGGTATGTGCTGATTTCATTCCCTTCCCAGGTTTGTGGCTGGGGGAAAGAGGAGGGTTGAGATCCTGGGAACATTATGTGTAAGGTTTTTTTGTTGTTTTCTAAACGTTTTTTATTGATTTGAGAGAGAGTAAGGGAGAGGGAGAGATCGAAACATGAATGATGAGAATCATTGATCAGCTGTCTCATGCACACCCCCTACTGGGGATCAAGCCCGCAACCCGGAATTGAACCATGAACCTTGGTTCATGGGTCCATGCTCAACCATTGAGCCACACTGGCCGGGCACATGTTAGGTTTTGATGTAGCGAACCCTCCTTTTCTCCCAGGGTGAACACTCATACCTGACCCAGGTGTTCAATCTGACCCTGCTGTGTGTGGAAGAGTATGTCATAGAACCAAAGTCTGTGCAGTTCCTGGTACAGCATGGCTTCAACTTTAACAGGCAGTATGCCCAGGGTATCCCATACCATAAGGGCAACGACAAGGTAGGTCTCCAGCCTTGAGACTGCCTCTTCTGTGATTTCATCTTCTTCCTACCACAGGCTGGATGTGTGGGAGGATCTGCTTCTTAGGGAGTCACTAGTGACAGGGCTGGGGAAATAAGACGAATATGTGGGTGAAGAGCATTGGGTTAGGTGCTGAGGAAGAGCTTTCCAGGTGGGGGAGCTCGGGATAAATATATTGTGAAAGAGGCTCCGTATGGGACTGCCCTTCCCGATGACCCCTTTCTTTCCAACCAGGGCGATGAGAGCCAGAGCCAGTCGGTGAGGACACTGTTCCTGGAGCTAATCCGGGCCCGCCGGCCCCTGATACTGCATAATGGTCTCATAGACTTGGTGTTCCTGTACCAGAATTTCTATGCACATCTGCCTGAGAGCTTGGGAACCTTCACTGCTGACCTGTGTGAAATGTTCCCAGCTGGCATTTATGACACCAAATATGCTGCTGAGTTTCATGCCCGCTTTGTGGCCTCCTACCTAGAATATGCCTTCCGGAAATGGTGAGGGACTGGTTGAGGGGAAGCGGTGGGGCCTGGTATAAACCTATTTTATATTTATTGAGTGCCTATCATGTGCCAGGCACTGTTTTAGTGCTGGGGATTCAGCAGTGAACAAAACAGATAAAAACCCCTGTTCGCATGGAGCTTATATGCTAGTGGACCAATACCCTCTTGCGCTATTTCAGTGAGCGGGAAAATGGAAAGCAGCGGGCAGCCGGCAGCCCACACCTTATCCTGGAGTTCTGCAACTATCCTTCTAGCATGAGGGCCCATGTAGACTACCGCTGCTGTATGCCCCCTACATCCCACCGTCCTCATTCCACCATCATCTGTGATAACTTCTCGGTGAGAACTCCCACCCATTTCCTGGGGGAGGGAAGGTTCTGATACCTGGAACCCCTCTCTAAGCCTCTTTCCTGCCTCTAGGCCTATGGCTGGTGCCCCTTGGGATCACAGTGTTCTCGGTCCCATGATATTGACCTTATCATTGACACTGATGAAGCTGCCACAAAGGATAAGCGGCGACGGCGACGACGTAAGGAAAAACGACGGAGGGCTTTGTTGGGCCTGCCTGGGAAACAGAGCTGTGGGGAAGCCGAGGATGGTCCTCCCACCAAGCAGGTCTGTGGGGATGGTGTCGAGGCTGAGGAAACTGAGCAGGAGGTGGCTCAGGACAAGACTAGCAACCAGCCTGGCTCTGAGCAAGATCACAAAAATGACTTGGAGATGGGACTTAAAGCAACAAGGCCTGAGACAGCTGACATGGCTGCCTTAGAAGCACCAGGGAGTCAAGCCAGTCCTAACCCAGTGCCTGGGGATGGATTGCATCGGGCTGGTTTTGATGCCTTTATGACAGGTTATGTAATGGCCTACATGGGAGTAAGCCAAGAACCTCAGCCCTGTAGCTCTGGACCCTGGCTACCTGAATGCCACAACAAGGTATACCTGAGTGGCAAAGCTGTACCCCTCACGGTGGCCAAGAGCCAGTTCTCCCGTTCCTCCAAAGCCCACAACCAGAAGATGAAGCTGGCTTGGGGCAGCAGCTGACCTAACTTCTGCTTAGCACCCAGAGCCCAAGAAGAGAAGCTGAGGGTAGAGCAGAGGGGTCTGGTCCCTCTAGCCTATGAATGTCCTGCTCCCAACTACTACAGAGTTGGGGAGGAGGGCTCCTGACAGAGATACTGCTGCATTGCTCTGGACTTTCTTTACCCCAGAGGCTGAGAAACAATGGTACAAGTAAGAAGGCTGACCAGCACCTGTAGTAACCAACTTTATTTTTAAGTCTGAGAGTGTCTTGGGAAAGTTTTACCAAAAAATCAGCAGAAACAAGTTATGAAAATGTTTGACCAGCTTTATCTTTGGTTATTTCTTATTGCGGCTCTATAAAGACAGACTGTTCCCGTAGCTCCAGCCATAGCAGGGAAGGAAGAAAATCAGTCCATGTATAAACCGTTTAACCAATTGGGTGTATCACATGTTGACAAATATATGGGGGCAGGCCCTAGGGCCTACAAAACCAGCCCCACTCCCAACCACAAGGTTGAAAGTCTTATAGGGCAGAACATTAAGACTCCCTTCATAAATATGAAAATAGGTTAATGAATTGGAAAAGATCTTTGAAGAGGTTAGCTAAGAGCCATGACCACCACGCTGCCTTGTCCTCCCCTTGCATAGAAATGTAGTGACGTGGTCTGACTGTGCAGTAAGTGCAAACAGCAATTATTCAAGTGTCTTAGACATACTGGCAAGAAGTACCCCAGTCTTTAGGTCTGAGAAATAGCCATGCCCTTTTCGGCCTCCTGGTCAGCTCCACGTTCCATCCAGTAACTTATATGCCCCGGGGAAGGGCAAGAGACAGACCTGGGGTGGAAGAAGAACCTGGGGTAATAGTCTGCCAGCTCAAACTAGAACTAGGAGTCCTCTGGTCTTGTCTGCAGAAACGCATTGTGGGTCAGCTGGGAGCCAGAGCTCCTTGCAGGATTTCAGAGGCTTGGAATCAGCTGTTGGCCCCAACAAGGAAGGCTTCTCACTGCTGCCTCCCCTCTCACAGTCACTGGGCACTTGGAGCCCCAAAGTTGAGCCTGACTTGGCCTAGCCTGCCTGCTCTGTGGGCTCCAGGGAAGAGTCAAGGCTGTGCACCAAGGGGGCCCTGTGGCTTCAGCTGAAGGTCCATCCCCATGGTGAGACAGGGATTAACCCCTCAACCATCCTGCTCTCCCTGGGTTTTCAGGCCTCTGCCTGAGACAGAGAAGGGGACTGGAGCCGAATCTCTTGGCCTTTCTTCTACCTCCATCTCTTCAGAGGCACCTGCAAGGCATGGACTGGCCCCCTGAGGCCTGGGCCCAAAACCATTTTCTTCCTGGGAACTGGAGCAGTCCATGGCTTCATGGGCTGGAGCAGCTGGTAGGGCAGATGCTCGGAATGGCGGGATCTCTCTTACTTTGTACTTGAGACTACTGAGACGTGGTGGGGGCCCATCAGACAGTGATTCTTCTCGGCCTACAAATGGACAGGCCTCTTGATGCAAGAACTCTGGTGAACCAGGCAAAGAATGCCACCGGCGAGCAGGTGGGGCCAGGGGTTCCTGCCAGTCAGCCATAGGCAAAGTTCCAGGCCCTGGTGCATCCAGGTCAAATACCAGGGAAATAACAGACTTGCTGGGCAGGTCAAAGAACTTGACCTTGCCACCCTTGAGGTCCTGGCGAGCACTGAAAGGGTTGATTTTGGGGGTGCTGGCAGCACCACCTCGTGGCTGGTAGTAGGGGTCCAAGACATTCACTGTATGTGGGGGCTTATGGGAGAAGATGTCTGACTGGCTTCGAGACAGCCAGATAGTACGTCTTGGGCGTGGGGACTTGGGAGGGATCTTCTCATCTAGTGAGCTCAGTCGCTTCATCCCAGGTCCTTTCTCCAGGAGTCCTGAAGGACAGTACATCAAATCAGGATTACTGCACTAGTCATAACAAATACAAGCACTACACTAAGTGTTTTTTCTTGGGAAAACAAAGTAGGTACTGTTGTCCCCATTTCACCAGTGAGAAAACAGACTGAAAGAAGGAGGCAGCATACCAAATCACAACTCTTGGAGTTCAGTATTTTTCCCATGTCCCCCATCCCTGCACCTTTCGTTTGGACATAGGATCCTGCCTTCACAGCCCTAGAGGGGAAGACCCCACAACCCTAATTTCTTACCCTTAGCAGTGGGCTGCAGCTCTTCCTCCTGTAGGTGGTTCAGAATTTCCTCCAGGTTCTTCCCAGTCTCCACAAAGGATGGGCGCAGTTTGGGGTCCATCTGTAGTTATCCACAGCAGCGATTAGCCCTGCCCTCCTACCTTCCACCCACAAGGATCGCATTTTAGTCTGTTTCTAGCATCTTTTAAGACTCAGATGTGCAGCTAAGAGACCTTTTCTGAAGGCCGCAGACCTTGAGGATGATTCCCAGAGCTAAGGTCAAGGAAGATGCTATCGTCTAATACCCTCCCCTGTCTCAGTAATCTTTCTGTGCCTTATCCTCTTTTGGCACAGAACCCTCCAACAGGTTATGCTCACATTGGTTTGTTCTTTCTTGAGTTCTGCTGCTAATGTGTTTCTCGAGGCTACCTAGACAAAGCCCATCTACTCCTTGGTCATAACAGGTAAGTCAAGCCTCAGAGCTGTATAAAATGAAAGCTAACAAGAGCCTTTCCCATCAGCCTTAGGACCAGCTGGATCCACAGTCTAACTAAAACCTGACCAGAGCTCCACCAACACCCAAGGCAAGGGGTGGTGGGTCTACCCTGCAGGCTGAGGAGCAGATATTACAAAGCAATTTTCCTTTATTTGGTCCAGGGCTCTGGAGAGTCTGGCAGGCCTCCAGAGGAGGAGCCACGAGCATTGTCATTCATCAGTGAAAATGAGGCCCCTAATTAGGCTTTCTACAGTTCTAACCAGGTGAACCCAGCCCCTGACCAAAGCTGGGGGCAGGAGGATACACTCACATTACAGCAGTTGAAGGTAAGCTGCAAAAAGTCTGGGGGACAGTCTCCCACCATGTGCTGGAAAGCGTCATAGTCCAGCCCGAAGTTCTGTGAATGGGTGTGGGGGGGAGGGAACAGAGGACATGGGTAGACAGGTTATTAATCCCTCCATCCATCCTGGCTTGCTCAGAAGGAGAGGCTGGGAATTGCCCCTGAGAAGTAGCCACATATACTAAGTTTCAGCAACTCCACCCCAAGAACAAAATGGTTCCACAACCTCAAAAGCAGCCCCACCCCAGTGGCACTGATCCCCATGCCTGCAGCTCACCTCTGTGCGGGGAAGATAGTCCGGATCAGCCTGGATACGGGCGATGATCTCACAGAGGATGATACCATAGGAGAATACGTCCGCCTGATGGGTAGTGAGACCTCAGTTTCCCTTTCAGTGGGCTGAGAAGTGAGGTTTCTGCCCCTCATGTCCACAGGCCTAGACTCTACTGCCCATATTTCATTCACTGGGTAGCTGCCAGGTACCAGCCCTGCTCTTGGTTGTAGATCCTCCCCTAAACATAAAGGGTGATCCTGGACACTGCTAAGAGTGGATTCTAAGGACAACCAAGCCTTGGGACCCCCAGACTCACCTTCTCATTGTAGGGCTCATCTCGGAGAACTTCAGGTGCCATCCAGAAGGGTGAGCCCACCACAGCCAGCTTCTCCCTCCCCATGCTGTAGGGTGAGATGATATAAAAAATGAGCTTGCCACTGGCTGGTATAATAGGATATCTGAATATTGGGAATTCTTCTCCCCCAAGTATGGGTATAGACGAGAAATGACCAAATTTAGGGAGCTGAGGTTGAGCTGTGACCAAGTCCTGGCCTCTGGGGAGGAAGCAGGAGTGTTTTGGGGTGTTTTTTTTTGTTTTTTTGCCTTAGTCGCTTCTGTAACCCCAGTACCCATTAGGGCTACTCACCTGACATCAGGGATCTTCTCAGCCAGGCCAAAGTCACCTACCACCGCAGAGTAACCATTTTCATCCCTCTTTATCAGGCAGTTCTAGGGTTCCCAAAGAAGAAGATAGTGTGGCTCAGAAGTGAGGACCAGCCATCCATAAAATTACCATGACAGCCATGTGAGATGAGGTAGGCCTGGATCTTGAGTGGTTGCCCTAGGATTCGTATTACGCTCCAAACACAAATACTTATCTTTACTTTCTATGTGCCAGGCAAGGTTCTAACGGCCAGAGATACCTCAACAAACAGAAACCACTGTCCTCTTGGAGCTAACAATCTAGTGAGGAAGACAATCAGGCCCCTGGCTTCCCTCTTCAGAATGTACAGACCAAAGACCTTGCCAAGAAATACAAGCATAGAACAAGTACCCAAACATAAACTAACTTTCACTGCCCACAGGATCACAAATAACCTCTCTGGTATTAAAAGTCTATGATCTGGCTCTAAACCAACTGCCTACCTCCCCACCAGCTCCTGTCTGCCCCTGATGCCCGACTGCACACATCTTCATCCAGACTTTCATAGACATGCTTGACTTGTGAAGCCTGAACAGGGCCTTTAAGCCCTGTTCAGATATCCCATTACACCAGCCAGTGGCAAGGTCATGCTTATATTGTTCTGTTCCATTTGGTGTTCTCCCAATTCTCCTTTTCACCTCAAAATGTTATATGTTTTAAGGCAAGATACCTTTCCAGTCCTGTCCTCTCCAGCTTTCATCTTTATTTCTCATTTCAACTCCTTTAACTCCTCCTCTATGCCACTTCCTCTTAAAGTCTAGCAGGCTATCAGCTCCTCAGGACAAGTTCTGGTTCCTCACAGTATTCAACTCATAAGAGAGGCTCAGGTCATGCTCACTAAACAACTGCTACTGTCTCCAGAAAAAAGGATAAACCCAAACAGCTTGTAAATAAATACAAAGCAACGAACTCTCCTCAAATAGTTGCATTCAAAATAGTCCTACACCACTCTGCTCTACCCACTTTCTCCAGAGGCAGCAGAGAGTAGGGATCCTTGGCTCACAGGGACATTTCTGGGGCCAGCAAGGCCCTATCTGACCCAAACCAGCCCTCCCTCCTCCTCACCAGCCTTGGCATCCAGGTACAAATCAGTTCCTTACTCTGACCTTGATGCAATTACACTATATTCTCTTTTTCCATGAAGTAGAATAAGCTTGTGATTTCATCACATCCTCTCCTGCCCTGGATACCAGGGAGACATGTATCATTTCTAGCTTTCAAGTAGGAGCATCCTTGTGCCTGTTCTGGTGTTAGCCCTCCCATCAGTCCTGCTGGCTCAGCATCCCCCAACTCATTGACTTTGAATGTCTTTGGGGCCCTAAGCCACTGTGACTATTAGAGAGCCAAAGCCCAGGCTTAGGGCACTGGTCTGTGAGGCAGTGGCAGCTCAGATCTGTCACCTATTTCTCTCTCCTCCTATTTCACTAACAGCTCGGGCTCCTTTCTCCACGGCTCAGTCTAAAGTCCTTTTTACTATTTGTTTTATAGCCCTCAAAAACAACCTTGTTAAATACAGCTTGGGAGCAGCAAATAAGGAACAGAGTTTGGCCACAGTGCACTGCCTTGTCAAAGCTGTTCCGTTTCTGCTCCATCTTCACATTCATGGAGACCTGCTCATTCACTGCAAATCACCCATTCAGGAGTAAGTGACTTCACAGTAGCTTCTCTGAGCGCCTGAGAAATGGCTAAGGCAGGGATGATCAGAGCCTTACAAAATGGGATAAGGTGGCATCTGCCTCTGATCTGCAATGTGACCACTGCCCCTCTTAAAGCTCATTCACAGCCACTAACCAGGCATTAGAGCCAAAGACAAAGATGGGATACTGAAAACCAAAAGAACCAAATTTTAGGAGTCTGAATCTGAGGTGATAAACAAAATGGGGAGGAACTCTGACCAGAATTAGCCCCTAGGGTTTTCCAACAAACTCCTGGGCCTGCCCGTAAAAGGGCCCAGGCTAGTGAGGTTTGTCTGGCAACACCTGCTGTTTTTATTTCCTTATCTCTCATTCTTTTTTCCCCCCCTAAGTTCACATCAGAAGGGTAATGTGCCAAAGTCATAATAAGGTTTGTGAGAAGCACATCTCACACAATTATCATGACTATGAATCTCCCATTAATTCTTCACTGATTTCTGCTAGAAATATTATTATGAAAGATCCCAATAAGTTCTATTACTTGATCTTCCTGCTGTTGACACTGCTGGTCATTTCCATCAGTGTTTTTAGGTATCAATCAGGAATTGTGTTAGTACTAGGCATGTAGAGAATAATCAGTTGTGGTACTGGAGCTAAGAGATTAGCTATTAGAGGCTAGTTAGAGGCTATTCCTTTCGTTTTAATTTATTTTTTTTCAGAGAGAAAGGGGGAGGGAGAGGGAGAGAGATAGAAACATCAGTGATGAGAGAATCATCAATTGGCTGCCTCCTGCAGATTAAGCCCAAAACCCCAGGCATGTGCCCTGACCAGGAATTGAACTGTGACCTCCTGGTTCACAGGTTGACACTCAACCACTGAGCCACTCCCATTACTTTCTTTTTTTAAAATATATTTTATTGATTTTTTACAGAGAGGAAGGGAGAGGGATTAGAGAGTTAGAAACATCGATGAGAGAGAAACATCGATCAGCTGCCTCCTGCACACTCCCCGCTGGGGATGTGCCCTCAACAAAGGTGCATGCCCTTGACCAGAATTGAACCCGGGACCTTTGAGTCCGCAGGCCGATGCTCTATCCACTGAGCCAAACCGGTTAGGGCTCCCATTCCTTTTTTATTCTTCTCTTCTGGCTTTTTCTTTTTTAATGTTTTTATTGATTTTAGAGAGAGAGGGAGAGAGAAACATTGATTAGTTGCCTTCTGCATGCACCTGACTGGGGGATCAAGCCCCCAACCTGAGCATTTACCCTGATGGGGAATTGCACTAGCAACCAGCAACCTTTTGGTGCACAGGCCAACCAACGCTCAACCAGCTGAGCTACACTGGCCAGGCGCTCCTGGCTTCTATGACAACTATAATTCTGGATTTCCTTGTCTATCTTTGGCTCTTCTGCAGACTACACTGCAGGCTTTTCTTCCCATCCGATGAGGATGATTGCTTTCAGGGTTTTATCTTAGGCCTACAGCTCTTGTGCTCTTTTGTGGAGGCTATCCTACATTTCTTTTCTAATTACCACCTTTGTGCTCATGGCTCCCAAATGTATGTCCTCAACCCTGACCTTGATCCTCAAGCTGCAGATTTAGACAGCCCGTCTATTTCTGGACAACTTCTGGATTGCCATGTTGAATTACACACATGCAAACCTGAACTCAACTTTTCTCCCAAGAACTAAAACTCAAGCTATTTTTTTTTTTTTTATGTCAGCTGGTACTGCCTTTTTTCCATTCAGTTTGCTAAGCTAGAAACCTGGGATTTATCTTAGATTTTTACTCTTACTCCACCTAATTTTCTCTTCGAAATGTTTTTCAAATCAGTCCCTCCCTCTTCATCCTTATTACTATTGCTCTAGTTCAGGTCCTCTTCATTCCTCCCCTGAATATTGCAATACTCTTCTAACTTGGTCCAGGCTTGATCTCCATAATCCACCTTCCTCATTCCTGCCAGCATGATCTTCATAAAATGCAAACCTAACTGTGATACTCCCCTATTTAAAAGCCAGCAAATTATATGATTCCATTTATATGAAATGTCCAGAATAAGGAAACCCATAGAAACTAAAAATAGATTAGTGGTTGCCAAGGGCTGAAGGGAGAGGGGAATAGGATAAGGGGGGTTTCTTTTTGGAATGATGAAAAGTTCTGAAATTAGATAGTGGTGTTGGCTGAATATACTAAAAACCACTTAATGCCTGGGCCAGTGTAGTTCAGTGGTTGAGCATCAACCTATGAACCAGGAGGTCATGATTGATTCCCAGTCAGGGCACATGTCCGGGTTGCAGGCTCAATCCCCAGTAGGGGGCATGCAGGAGGCAACTGATCAATGATTCCCTCTCATCATTGATGTTTCTATTTCTCTCTCCCTCTCCCTTCCTCTCTGAAATCAATAAAAATCTATTTAAAAACAAAAAACTGGGCCAGAGTAGACACCTGAGAGCACTTCCTGAAGTCTCCAAGAGCAACTGCAGAGTCACTATTGGCACTGAATAAAACCAACACAGCACAGGGAGGCCAGAGACTGAACTGCCCTCCTAAATGCCCCAGAGACTGTTTAAGTCTCTCGGAAGATTATCTGGTTTGCTGTCCCATCTCTTGCCCTCCATCCCACCATGGGATCCCATATATTTACCATAGCTCTTATGTACTAATCTGCTCACATATCTGTATCCTCAACTAGTCTAAAAGCCCAAGTATGAAAAAAATAAAATAAAAGCCCAAGGATGGTACAGATTGTGTTCCAGTAATTTCTATGTCCCCGATACTATGTTCTCTAATAATAGCACAGTATAAATGATTTTCAAAAGCTATTGAATCTCATTATAAAAACGACTATAGGGTGCCCTGATAGACACACACTACTCCCTCCAGCCTTCAACTTTGTTCCTAATTCATGCTCTCTTCAGTCTCTGAAAATGGACATTTTCTGTTCCTAGCTGTTGCCTAGTACAGCCGAAGACCATAGTGGGAAAGGCTTTTCACTCAGATGGATTGACCAGAGTGGCTCCTACAGAGTCAATGAAGTAATACATATATACAAAATCTAACAACCAAGAATAGAGCTACAATTCATAATTCATACTCCTAGGGGTAACCAAATGCAGTGGTGCTTGCCCGACTCAGGGCAGTAATGGTAATAAGCAGAAACAAACTGCTTTCTCAGCTGCCTCTGAGAGCCAAGACTTGTGCACAGTTGTACTAGCTTCTCTTAGAGCCACAGGTAAAAGCCGGTGTGTGGTTATTGTCACTTCTTGATGGCTCAGGAACTGAATCGTTTTAAAGCCACAATACCTCCCACATTGCCTCCCACTTCCTTCTAAGTAAACTATCAGTATCACCACTGCACAAAATTGTATCAGACGATTTCTTAGAAGTAATTACAAAATTAGATTGAACAGCTACCTCTGACAGACGTTTCACTCTTGAGAGCAGTACTACAGTAACCACTGGGATGTGAACCTTGCAAAGGCAATACTACTTTCAGGAGGTGCTCTGATAGGAACTAGGGATCTTTGCTTCTATCACAGGCTCAGGATCATCTGGAAAAAAGGCACCTGCTTCTCTGTCCTTGTTTACCCACCTGGAACGTGTTCCCACTACTTTAAATCCCTCCTGTGAGCTCTGGTCTGAGAAGTCCAGACTGATTGCTCCTGTGAGGTCAAGGACAGAATCTATTTTACAGACTGGGAACCCTGAGGCCCCAAGGGCCCTGAAGTCATTTGGAGGAATGGGACAAAACTGGGTCTGGGATTCAATCTCAGCTCTCGAGCAGATGTTTTGGCCTCTGTGCTATCAAGTACATTTTCTGAAAGAGGGCCAGAAAGCCCCTATGACAGGTTCTACACTAGGTGCGAGACACAACACAATAAACTAATATGAAGTGAATCTCCCATTATACTTAAAGAAATCAAACTCAGACCCAACATTGGCAATGAGGAGATCATTTGGAAACCTCAAAGCCCTACTCTGTCCCTTTAGCCTATTTCTCCCTTGAGACTTCTCACTATTATGATTACTACAATAGAGATCTGGGTGGGGCTGCTCTGGCCTCAGTGTGGACAAACCTTCTTCCTAATCCCTGCAACACAGTTATAATGAGGCTGGAACATTCAGACAAAAGGTCAGAAATGATAAAAGGGCAGTGAACACAGACAGTCTCTCCTATTGGATGGTCTGGTTTGTAAAATTCCCTGGTTTTTCTTCAACTTGAGATTCCCTAAAATGTACTTCCTAGCCTGTCTCCAGTTTGCAAAGTCATTGGTTCTTACCACCTGGAAGTACTCTCAATACCTCCTTAAAGTTCAGACCCAGAAAACAGCTCAGAGAGATACAGTACTTTCTCCTAAGTTCCTAGTTTCTTGTTTCAAGCCACTGGCAGGCACTGAGAATACCTACTCCCTATTAGGAAAACCAAAGGACAGTGGTCTTACCCTACAGTTTCAAAAAGGTTATAGTCATGCCGGCGTGGCTCAGTGGCTGAGCATCGACCTATGAATCAGGAGGTCACCGTTCAATTCTGGGTCGGGGCACATCCCCAGTGTGGGGCGTGCAGGAGGCAGCCAATCAATGATTCTCTCTCATCATTGATGTTTCTATCTCTCTCTCCCTCTCCCTTCTATGAATTCAATAAAAATATATTTTTTAAAAATATATATACTCATGTAAGCGTGGGGGAAATAGCTGTATGACTGATGGACAACTCGTCATGATCTCTCTCCACCTTGGAGCAAATGATGCTGCAAAGATTTGATTTTGGCTGCATGCCCAATGTGAGACTAGGCTATCAACTTAAGGCAGTGTCTAAGCTGACATGAACCCACTCATTTGCCTGGAACAAGTACAGTTTCTCTAGTCTTGACTTTCTAAAACATCCTAGGGGATGAGACAAGGCTGATGAGGGGAAAAGATACCATCTTCCAGGTCCCAGTTGTCCAACTGTCCAGTCCTTGCAGGAACCGAGGAAAACAAAGGCCACCTCACAACTAGGCCTCAGCTGGTCACCACATTCCATTTGCTGGTCTTAGTGCTCCTTTATTAACAGTGCAGCTGACTATAAATGGCTCTGCCACACCCAGGGGCCCTACAATCACCTTCCCTAAAGCTATTTTCTGTGTAATAGTTTATCAACCAATGGCCAGGGTCCCTCAGGGACATTACTACTATTTGGAACACCAGAATCATTCTAGTGTGAGGTAGTCAGAAACTTACTTCTCTGAGAGTACAGCCTGCTTTTGTTCTCTTTGCAAACTTTTTCTTATAACAATCTCCCTTACCCCTCATCCATGACAGAAGAGGTGTGGGAATGTGTATGCAGGTCTATGTGTTCATGTGTATATGTTGAGGATGGGGAATAAAATGACTGCTATTCTTGGGCAGGTACAAAACTCCCATATACCTTCCTAGAAGACTGTAAACCAGCTCTTGGACATAAGTCATATTAGATGACTTGTATTTCCCACATCAATGATCAAACAGTATTATTTATATAAGTCTTGTCCCAGTGGTATCCTGGGCCACTTGGCCCTGTGGTGCCTGCCTGTAGCATGGCCAACTTCCTCTAAAAGCAACTGTTTTCTAACCTGGTCACACAGCAATTTGGACAGCAAGAGAATACTACAGAGACCAGCTAACACCAAAGAGAAACTGGCAGAATGGCAGAAACTCAATCACACACATAGAAAATGGGTCAGTACACTATGGCCCTCAAAACCTGCACTCAAGTGACTAAAAATCTCCGATCTCCTGCTCTCAGTTAAGAGCTACTTCCTGGAGGCCATGAGCGAGAACAATAAGAGACAGGCTCCCACATTGTCTTGACTGCTGTCATCCTATTGGGCAAGAACCTCTTAACCCCCCTCACGCCATCGGCTCCTGCAACACACATATTCAGGAGATTAAAGTAATTCGTGAAGGTTCTCAAGATGTATGTGTTGCCTGGCTCGACACTGAAAGGTACCTGCTGTGAGCCGAGATTGGCTTTCTAAGGAATAGCTATATAGAGTATTAATTTGTATCCTCTGTGATTAAATGTTAAATCTATAAGAGAACTCTATCATTTCAAAGCTTATTAATGACTGGTTTCTTAACACTGCTTTCTTGGTAATGGAGGACAGTGTCGAGTGGTGCAAGGAAAGCCTTCATACCTTAGATGTGAGGTCCCGATGGAAAATGCCTTTGAAGTGAAGATAGCTGAGGCCCACTGCTATGTCATAGGCCAGTTTCACCCTCACAGTCCAGGGCAAGTACAGGTTACTGTCTAGCAACTGTTCCAGGTTTCCAGCGTTGATATACTGTAAAACAAGGAAAACCCAGCTACCATTTGTCAGGAATATAAGGCTGGTGGTGAAACCACTAGAGAGTAACACTTAGAAGATAGAGACTGGATGTTTTGTTCATTGTTGTTTTTTAGGTGACTGAGGGCTTATTCTGTATCTATACACAAAGATACCTTTCTTTAAGGAGATCACAATCTATTAAGGGATACAGACAAACAACATTTGGTAAATGCTAAAATATAGCTTTGTACATGTACCACCACAGTGCTATGTAGCAAACAGAATAAAGTTACTAACTCAATCTGAACATGTCGGAGAAAGCTGCACAAAGGAAATAAGGAGTCAAAAGGATAACCTGGGGGAACATAAAAGAAACACAGTCCACACAAAGGGAGTAGCATATGCAAGATATAGGTTAAATGCATGATGCACATAGAAAACCAATTTAATCAATATGGCCAAAAGAAGCAGGTGAGGCTGATATGCTTTGCTAAGATATATGGCAGTGGTTCTCAACCTTGGCTGCACATTAGAATCACCTTAGGATTTAAAAAAAAATTCCCAGGTGATTCTAATGTGCAACCAAGGTTGAGAACCACTGATATATGGGCTTTACCTTGTCTACAGGGAACAAAAGAAAGTCTTTTAGACAAAATAACATTTATATTTGCTTTTAAAGAATATATTATTTTAGCAATGGTATGATAGAATAGAGTGGAGAATATGGAAAAGGAAAAATAGAAGAGTATTGCAATAATCCTGGTGAAAGAAGGGTGTCTGAGTTAAGGCAATCGTGGAGGCAATGGAACAGAGCAAGATTCAAGATGTACTTAGAGCCCTGGCCGGTGTGGCTGTTGGTTGAGTGTCATCCCATGTACCAAGAGGTCACTGGTTCAATTCCCAGTCAGGGGAAATGGGGATCGAGACTGGGTTGTGGGTAAGGGGCATGCAGGAGGCAGCCAATAGATGTTTTTCTCTCATTGATGCTTCTCTCTCTCCCTCTCTCCCTTCCTCTCTCTCTAAAATCAATAAAAACTTTTTTTTTTAAAAAAAGATGTACTTAGATGGCAGAGTAAAAACACACACACACAAAAAAAACTTGAGCCCCAGCCGGTTTGGCTGAGTGGATAAAGCGTTGGCCTGCAGACTGAAGGGTCCAAGGTTCAGATTCCAGTCAAGGGCACATGCCTGGGTTTCGGGCTCGATCCCCAGTAGGAGGCATGCAGGAGTCAGCCAGTCAATGATTCTCTCTCATCATTGATGTTTCTATCTCTCTCTCTCTCCTTCTCCCTTCCTCCCTGAAGGCGATGTTGAGTTTAAAGGCTTGTGGAACAACCAAAGTGGAGGTGTCATATAGAGAGTTGTTTAAAGTTCAGGAACAAAGTTAGGCTAGACACTAAGATTTAAGAAGCAATAACATTGAGCTAAAGTAATCACTGAAGCCAAGGAATGTATGAAATTTCCCAGGGATTAACATATAAGGTGGGAAAAGAACATTTACAGAAGCAGGCAGGAAAAGAAGAACCAAGTAAGAATATCATCACAGAAGTCAAAGAAAGATAATACTCCAAAGAGGAAAAGACCAAAAGTATCAAGTAAGATGAGCATTAAAAGTATCTACAGAATTTATAACTAAGTCACTGGCATCCATGGCCAGAGCAGTTTCAGTAAAGTGATTAAGACCAGAGTAAGACCCAAGTGAGTAGGAGAGAAAACTATGGAGAAAGTTTGTGAAGATGTACTCTTTTAAGAAATCTGACTGTTTGTCATTCCTACATACCCATGAAGGGCTGTTTTGCTTTTTCTTTTTAAAAGAATAAATAAGTGCCCAGCTGGTGTGGCTCAGTGGTTGAGTGTCGACCTATAAACCAGGAGGTCACAGTTCGATTCCCGGTCAGGGCACATGTCCAGGTTGCAGGCTTGTTCCCTAGTGGAGGATGTGCATGAGGCAGCTGATCAATGATTCTCTCTCATCATTGATGTTTCTCTCTCTCTCTCCTTCTCCTTTCCTCTCTGAAATAAATAAAAATATTTTTAAAAAGAGCAAATAAGCATTTATATGGAGATGATGATAATAACAGCAGCTAATAGTTATTTATATGTGCTTACTTTGTGCCAGGCACTATTCTAAGAACTTAAAATTATCTCATTCACTGCACATAACCCTATGAGGTAAAGTATACTATTATCCTCATTTGACAAAAGGCATTTACACGTTAACAAACTTGCTCAAGGTTACCCAGTTATTAAGGAGCAGAGCCAGGGTTCAAGCCCAGGCAGCCTGGCTCCAGCATCCATATACTTTACCACTACATTACACCTCAGAGGTAGGAGACCACAGCACCCAAATCAGAGAGCCTCATGCAAAACAGGAGCTCAAAGTTTTTTGCCAATTAGGTTAATGAATTTATTCAAACCTCACATGATTTGGTATTATCTCCCTCCCCTTCCAAGGGAGAAAAGGGGGAAAATTCATCCAAGTCTAAATTAAGCTCTTAATACCTACTATGGGGGGTATTATTGAATTTACAAAAGACCAGGGAACTTAATAGGATTGAGGGCAAGAGATCTGAATTTTAGCCCAATTCTCCCTTTTTAAAAAAATGTATTTATTTTATTGATTTCAGAGAGGAAGGGAGAGGGAGAGAGAGATAGAAACATCAATGATGAGAGAGAATCATTGATTGGCTGCCTCCTGCACGCCCCCCACTGGGGATCGAGCCTGCAACCCAGGCACGTGCCCTTGGCCAGAATCGAACTTGGGATCCTTCAGTCCACAGGCCGACACTCGATCCGCTGAGCCAAACTGGCTAGGGCGAATTCTGCCTTTTAATAGTCATTTAACTTTGGACAAGTCAACTAATAAAGCTATCCTTCAGTTTTCCCACCTATAAGTAGGTGTGATCATTTCTGATCCATATAACTCACAATGTTATTATGAGAATCTAATACAAATATATGAAAGTGCTTAAAAAAAATTTAAGCCCTAGCCGGTTTGGCTCAGTGGACAGAGCGCTGGCCTTCGGACTAAAGGGTCCCGGGTTTGATTCCGGTCAAGGGCACATGCCTGGGTTGTGGGCTCGGTCCCCAGTAGGGGGCCTGTAGAAGGCAACTGATTAATGATTCTCTCATCATTGATGTTTCTATCTCTCTCTCCCTCTCCCTTCCTCTCTGAAATCAATAAAAATGTATTTAAAAAAATTTTAAGTGCCATATAATCTGAGATTTTCTGATGTGGTAACATAAGCACCAAAAGAACCAGTTGGGGGCAGCACGATGCAGCACTTCAGATCCTTGGATGAGGCGGATCAGGTTTGGCAAGGCCGAGAGAATGGCTAAAAATACACCTAACTTCTCAAAAGGAAAACCTGCCAATCTGCTTCATCCTGCTTGATAATCCATCTTTGGAAATCTCAAAATGAGGCATACTGATGGCATTAGCACAGTGCCTTCCTTCATTAATTCACTGCAGTTGAATCTGTCTGTCGTTCACATATGAAGTGCTCATTTGCTAAAAAGAAACTGAACCTGCAAACTCCAAGCTACATGGGAGCAATAAAGCTGACACCTAATCATGCAGACAAATTCCTTTAGCTCTGAGAGTCAGAAAGATCTGAAGGGGTGGTGGTTCACTTGTTTGGCAGGGTGACACTGTAACATGGAAGGCCTGACCAGGAGTCACTCAGGTTTCCTGTCTGAGGCCATGCAGAAAAGCTGACGTAAAAGCTGTCTGTATGTGCACTATCGGTAGGCCAGACTAAGCCAGAATTTTGGATTCTGGTTCAGAGAAACACATTTACTCTCTTCAGCCATGTCTCTGAAGGCCTGAGAGATTCACAGACCAAGCCAGAGGATGGAGAGCAGAGAAGAAAGGTGAGACAAGGTGAGGAATCACACTGGCTAGGCTCTGAATTTTCCAGGCAAAATGGAAAAAGTACAAACCAGAGACGGAAACCAAACGAAGTTTATTGTTACAACCAATCTCTCTTGCTGGCCTTTGGTGAATACTCTGGTGGGGCTGATAAGTCTCTGGGCCTCAGAAACCACAACTTCTCAATGTCTCAAGACCTTTTGCATCTATGAGGAAAGGAAGTTTGAGATCTGCCAACAAGGAAGATTTCTAAGTTGCTACACACTGTGTGCCCATTAGTTGGAACGTTTACTTCCCCATAGCAACTCCCAGTGCAGACTCAGCTGGTATGTCCTCTGAGCAAATCAGGGAAGCAGAGACAAGAGCAACTGCACTAGCACATTCAGCTTTCCCGGATGAGAATAACAGCTGCTTCGCTGTCTTTTTCTTCCAGACCAGTCCCTTGGGCAGCCCTACAAAACAACCTAGGGCATTGGCAATATATTTGCATAACTTACCAGAAAGAGAAGTTTTTACACTTTCCATTTCTTATTGTTCTTTTAAACTTTCAAGTTCAGAAAACTATAATATCAGCCACATGTTTTAGGTACTTCAATACCCCTCAGTGATTGTCCCTCAACTTCACCTACACCAAAACCTGCCTCTTCTCTACATGATCTAATAAAATATTAGAACAGAGTTCCTGCCATTTCATTTGTGTTTGATACTTGATTTCATTAAAAAGACTCCTTTTCCTAGAAAGCGCTCAATAGATAAATGTATGTTTACTAAACGACATTACATATGCAAGAAATCATATGCCAACACCCTAAAAAAATTGCCAAAAGGACAGATAAATGGATACTCAGTTCTCCACATAAGAATTATCAATTCAGGTTATTCCTAACAAACATTTATTGAGCACCCTTCCCCTTCCCACCACATCCATCTACATATATAAAAGCCAAGCAAGGCTAGAGATGGCTGTGGTTTAGGAGAACTCGATTCAGGAACGGGCGGTGGCTCCACCTGGGGATTCCTGAGGCCGTGTTTGTGGAAGATGTGGATTCCTACATGAAACAGCCTGGGAATGAGACTGTGGATACAGTGCTAAAGAAGTTGGATGAACAGTACCAGAAGTATAAGTTTATGGAACTCAACCTTG